GTAGCACAATACTGCTCGTTATTGACAATGTAGTACACTAATGTACTGCACGAAGTAGCACAATACTGCTCGTTATTGACAATGTAGTACACTAATGTACTGCACGAAGTAGCACAATACTGCTCGTTATTGACAATGTAGTACACTAATGTACTGCACGAAGTAGCACAATAATGCTCGTTATTGACAATGTAGTACACTAATGTACTGCACGAAGTAGCACAATACTGCTCGTTATTGACAATGTAGTACACTAATGTACTGCACGAAGTAGCACAATACTGCTCGTTATTGACAATGTAGTACACTAATGTACTGCACGAAGTAGCACAATACTGCTCGTTATTGACAATGTAGTACACTAATGTACTGCACGAAGTAGCACCTGTCTCTTATACACATCTAGATGTGTATAAGAGACAGGACTAGACGTGACCCACGAGACGGTAGCAGAGTTCCTGGAGGGGCAGACGCTGGACGAGGCGCTGGCGCAGAAGAAGATCTTCATTTGTGACCTCGCGGTGCTCGAGAACCTGCCCTGCAAGGACGGCAGAATTGTCAGTAACGCTCGCTTGCGAACTAAAATATATGTTTATTTTTTGTTCGATTGCGAATATAAAATACATGAGGGTAACATGAGGGTAATGTGAGGGTAACATGAGGGCGTAGAGCAGACCACGGCACCACTTACGAACAAAAATATATGTTAGAAGGCTCTTTAAATATGCATTTCTTAAGAACGAGACTCGAGTTCTTACGAACTCGAATTCGGTTCTCTATAACACGAGCAACTGGTGGATGTAGCATATGCACATCTGTATCTTTCGTGATATGATATGCGGATATGAGTATATATGTGTATGTGCATATAGATTGATGTGATATATGCGTACGAGTATCTAAGTATATGATATATGCATATGAAACATATGGATATCATAATGTATATCATGAATGTATATTTGTTTAGTTGGATATGATCTAAAAGCTTTCCCGGATAATGAGCAACAGTGAAGGAATGAAGCCACGGGGAGTGGGCTCCCAAATTACCGATGTTTACTTGACGATGGTGACTTAAAATTCTCATTTGCGTGAGAGCCTTAATTAATATAGGTCGTTTTTTAGTGAACCTTGTTGCGTATTACTCGAGTCTGCCATTGCAACTTCGTGTTAAGATCATGTCTGTTTCATGTCTAACAGCTGCCTTACATGTTAAGATCATGTCTATTTCATGTCTAACAGCTGCCTTACATGTTAAGATCATGTCTGTTTCATGTCTAACAGCTGCCTTACATCTGTCTCTTATACACATCTAGATGTGTATAAGAGACAGCTAGAAACTAGTGTTGTGCATGCTGCTAGTGTACTAGAAACTAGTGTTGTGCATGCTGCTAGTGTACTAGAAACTAGTGTTGTGCATGCTGCTAGTGTACTAGAAACTAGTGTTGTGCATGCTGCTAGTGTACTAGAAACTAGTGTTGTGCATGCTGCTAGTGTACTAGAAACTAGTGTTGTGCATGCTGCTAGTGTACTAGAAACTAGTGTTGTGCATGCTNCGCTCGTACTGCGCCATGACGCACCTGACGGTGGAGAAGAGACGCTCGTACTGCGCCATGACGCACCTGACGGAGGAGAAGAGACGCTCGTACTGCGTCATGACGCACCTGACGGTGGAGAAGAGACGCTCGTACTGCGCCATGACGCACCTGACGGTGGAGAAGAGACGCTCGTACTGCGCCATACAGATGGGTATTGTGCCACGCAGACACAGCGGCTGTAGCTGCTCGCGGTCTATCAGGCGGCGCATGACGCACAGCGAGTAGATCACGTTAGCGGCGCGAGATACCTGCCATAATCACTATTATTATTATCTTAATATTATAATTACTAGTATTATTATTCTTTTATTATTATCATTATTATTATTAGAGAAACTAAATTATTATTACCTATTATAAGCATAGCAAATAGATTATGTTAGCGGCACATGATACGTGGCATGTTAATCAATTATTCGCATTACAAGAACAATTTACACATAAATGTGCAAAACATACACCAGAATAATGTGAATAATGTTACATTATAAATGAATTTATAATATAACGATACATTATAATATTTATATAATTTATATAATATATATAATTATAAAATAAGGATATATTATATTTACATAATTTATATAAATATAAATAAATGATAGGTGTAATGTTAGGACCTGCTTGGTGGTGGGTGCCCAGCTGTAGTGGTCCAGACAGTAGTAGTTGCTGTTGATGGCCAGCGGTGTACGGTTCATTAGGTACGCATACTTCTCCCTGTCAAACATCAACATTAAATGCGCCAATACATGCATTAAATAAGTTAATACATAAAGTAAATGCGTCAATATATGCGTATGCGTCAATACATACATTAAATAGGTTAATACATGCCTTAATGCAACAATACATGCACTAATTGCGTCAATAGATACATTAAATAGGTTAATACAAGCGTTAAATGCAACAATACATTAATTAAATACGTCAATACATACATTAAATGCACCAATACAATATATGATTACAGTTTTAGTACACAAGTCTATCCAGATAATAAATTAAATTACAGTTTCAACTGAAATTATATTTTCCTTGCATCTTATTCGGCACGGACAACCTATTTCTATTACAATTGTGTAAATAAAAATTCAGGTTGAGCAGTTTAGGATAATATACACTGGGAAAAGTGAGCCAGATTTTGTCTAAATTGTGATACATTTATCGCTCTTGAGTACCGTACCTATATCATTCTGACCCAGTATGGCAGTAATGTACCAGTAATAAGTCGTATCAATATTACGTGTGTTCTTCTATAGGTAAAGCAGTGTCAGCATTTGGACAATGTAACACGTTGATTTACGTGTGTTCTACTGTAGGTAAAGCAGTGTGGCAGTATTTAGACAATGTAACACGTTGATTTACGTGTGTTCTACTGTAGGTAAAGCAGTGTAGTCATGGGCAGGGTGGGTCATGGGCAGGGTGGGTCATGGGCAGGGTGGGTCATGGGCAGGGAGAGTCATGGGCAGGGTGGGTCATGGGCAGGGTGGGTCATGGGCAGGGAGAGTCATGGGCAGGGTGAGTCATGCATACATTGGACGGAATACGATGATAAAGTGTGCATTTTCCCTCAGACACACTTATGACTCAGCGCCATCGACGTTGACAATAAACCGGAATAAAATTCAGACGCGGGCCCGACTCTGCATCAGGCGCCGCCCAGGACTCGGGCAGCGCGTAAATCAGCCGCTCATGTCCGCCTCGGCCGGGCTTGAAGTGCAGCCTCTGAGCAGCTTGTAAGCTCGGCATGACTCGGCCATGACAACCTATGTTATAATCTCACGACATACTTATCATACCCCTAGGTGACGAGAGCCACCACCACCACCATCACCACACCACTCACCCATGGTAGCGTGCAGAGGAGGTACCGGCATGCGTGGTAGGGACCGCTGGCAGGAGTACAGGCTGGGCTGGTACCCCGACACGAGCTTCACACACACGCCCCACACGCGCGTCTTCAGGGACATCTCCCGGGGCTTCTCGTCTGCGATGTTATACTTTATATCATTGTTATCAATGTAGCATCTTATATATATCATTCTTATCACTTGTATCATCTTATATATCATTGTTATCACTTGTACAATCTTATATATATCATTGTCGTTACTTGTAGCATCTTATATACCGTATCATTATTGTCAATGTAGAATTGTTATGATTTGTATAATTGTTATCACTAATATATGTCATTTTTATCACTTTGTAGCATTATATAACTTATATATACCATTGACATCACTTCTATAATTGTTATCACAGATATGTGTCATTGTTATCACTTTGTAGCATTATAACTTATATATACCATTGGTATCACTAATATATGTCATTTTTATCACTTGTATAAATGTTACTAGTTACATAGTAGGGTACATTGAATCCACTTATGATACATTGTTATCACTGATACAGTCAGCTACATAGTTATCTGTACACTCACACATCCAGCCGCGATACGCCAGCAGTATACGCAGCAGATATTGTCGTACACGCATGAGAACCACGAAGAACCCGACACTGATGCCGCACGACACCACGGCGTTGCGAACCCACGTGGGTGAACCTGCGGGGAGAACCACAAATGAGGGAACGGCATTGTGTGGGGAACCACATGTGAAGAAACCGTGTTGCACAGTGAACCACATGTGAGTGAACCGTGTTGCACGGTGAACCACATGTGAGTGAACCGTGTTGCACGGTGAACCACATATGAGGTAAATGATTTGTATGGTGAACCACATATGAGGTAAGGCATTACACGGTGAACAACGCGTGAACTAAATCACAATTTACAACAGTTAGGAAGCATCAAATAACACTGTATTTGATGCTTCCTAGGAAGCATCAAATACAGTTCACAATTGTTAAAGGGAACAATGAATGCAATAACATTCATTCATTCCAAGGGAAATGGGCAGATCTCATTAGATAAACATCAAAATATGAAATATTCAACAGATATTCAACAATACACATTCCACAAATAACATGGCAGTTCATTCACCAGGGTGAGTGTTTTCAATTTTCAACCCAGCATGGTGGTCAAATGAGAGTATTTTCAACCCACGGTGCAAGCATGGTGGTCAAATGTGCAGTATTTTCAACCCACGGTGGTTAAATGTGCAGTATTTTCAACCCACGATGCAGGTATGCAAGGTTAAGATAACCCCACAGCTTCTGCATGGTGCACTGAAAAGGTGATAACACACAGCCTTCTCAACAGACATGGAGATAACACAAGACAACAACATCATAAACATCAATGCTGCATAAGCAGCATAACAACAACAAATAATAACCTTGATTAATGTAAGATAGTTAATTAGATTATTCAAAATGAATTTAGATAACAATGATATTAAGGGTATAGGGCCATTCATTAAAATGACTGTGATTAAAATTAATGCAATTTGTATTCAAAAATTCTTTGGAGTATATTTTCTACATCTGTAATAATAATTGGATAATGAATAAATGGTAATTAAATGAACAACCAAAACAAATTTATGTCTTTCATATTCCTTAGTTCCCTAATCTAGGGTGTGCTGCTCCCCAAATCTAGGGTGTGCTGCTCCCCAAATCTAGGAAGTGCTGCTCCCCAAATCTAGGGAGTGCTGCTCCCCAAATCTAGGGAGTGCTGCACCCCAAATCTAGGGAGTGCTGCACCTCAAATCTAGAGAGTGCTGCTCCCCAAATCTAGGGAGTGCTGCTCCCCAAATCTAGGGAGTGCTGCACTCCAAATCTAGGGAGTGCTGCACCCCAAATCTAGGGAGTGCTGCTCCCCAAATCTAGGGAGTGCTGCTCCCCAAATCTAGGGAGTGCTGCACCCCAAATCTAAAGAGTGCTGCTCCCCAAATCTAGGGAGTGCTGCACCCCAAATCTAGGGAGTGCCATCCACTAAATCTAGAGAGTGCTGCCTAAATTTATGGAGTGCTGGTAGTGGCAGGGGTGGTAACTAGTGTCAGCACCCACCTGCTGGTAGAGGCAGGTAACTAGTGTCAGCACCCACTTGCTGGTAGTGGCAGGTAACTAGTGTCAGCACCCACCTGCTGGTAGTGGCAGGTAACTAGTGTCAGGACCCACTTGCTGGTAGTGGCAGAGCAGTGGCCATGGTGTTGAGGTGTCGGGTGAGGTAGTGTAGGGAGGGAGGCTGGTAGTGCAGCAGGTACTGAGATAACCCGCACACCACAACCAGGTTGTTGGTCGTGGTTGGCCACACACGGTTGCGCACGCTGTTTCTGTGAACACATAACATGGTTGTGTCATCAACATCTTCTAGTTTCTTAAATTAAATACTCCCAAAAAATAAATACTCTTAATAAATACTCTTAAAAAATAAATAAGTTTAATAAATAAATACTCTTAAAAAATAAATACTCTTAAAAAATAAATAAGTTTAATAATTAAATACTCTTAAAAAATAAATACTCTTGCTAAACCAATAGTCTTAATAAATAAATATTCAAAACAAATAAATACTTTTAATGAACAAACACTCTCAAAAATATATACTCTTAAAAAATAAATATTCATAAAAAATGAACAATAAATATTCTTAAAAATAAATACTCTCAAAATCTCATCGAGCAACCACAAAAATTGACCAAAGTTGAAGAATGTATGAACAAATGAATGAGTAGCCAGAACAAAATATAATTGAATATTCACACACAAGTACTGTAAGTCATTCACCTGAATCAAAAATATCCTCTGATGAAGGCAACTCTATAAGACCTAAGTTGAAGAACTTATATTATCAGTCTGCTTATATTGCAAGTTCACAAGGAATTTATAAGCAAAAAAAACTACAAGAAAATTCATCATACGGTATCAATATTGAAAATGTGAAAAATTATGTTTTCAGTATCGATATGGTGAATTTTCTTGGCGTTTTCTTTGCTTTTAAATTCCTTGTAAGTTGAAGAATGGTATGAAAGAATGAAAAAGTAGGTAGCCAGAACAAACAATATTTAACTCAAATATTCACACATGAGTAAGTTATTCACCTGAAGCGGAAATATCCTCTGATGAAAGCAACTCTATAAGATGAGAGCAACTCCTCCCATGACAAGGTTGATCCGTCGTCTTCTTTTGGCACTCGAGGCCGGGCGACGGCTATACGAGCGTCAGTCATTGTAATGTGGCTGGCCCAGCTAATCTAGGCGACTATGATTTAAAATACTTTGTATCTACACAATTATTATGTATTGTTTTATTGAGTAAATTATCTGTAGACACATAAGAGAGAAAATTCAAGTAAAATAAAAAATTAATGCATTTGCCATTTCATCATGAGAGTATTGGTCAAAGTCAAAGGCTATATAAAGAAACTATCATCACTACACAGTCAACAGACATTCAAGTTCACTTGAAATTTACACATAGCATACATTTATAAGTCAATTCCAATTAAACTGATATTTTTTTATACACTCACTAGGGAAAATTTGCCCAGAAAACAACATATTTATTGATGAATCAGTATACTACTTACTAGAGCTTAACACGTTGACTATGTATTGGTACATATGCGTACCACGAAATGTATTTCTCCAGGATGAAGTGGTGCATAATTCAGGTTGCCTATAATTGGCCAAATCTGAGAACAAAAAAGGCCAAAAAAGGCCTATAACCCAATATATACTAGTTTATTTGTAGGTTCTGCTATAAAAATTCCATTTATTTTCTTTTTCCAGTACTTGAAATTCAATTAGGAAGTACCTCTATCATAAATTTTAGCCGGCCAATGCAATTGAGAAAAACTAAATCACGGAACTTGTCCGGAAAAATAACCGTCTGGCAACCCTGTTTAAAAACAGTACAAAAAATGAAATAATAGTACAAGATGAAGCAATCGTAGTCAACGTGTTAAAGAAAGTTTACCTATATTTTCAATAATGATGTTGTGCATGTGTTGTTGCCGTTATGGTGCCCCCTGTCAAGTTATTATTCATATTAATTATTTATTATTTGCAAAAGACAAGCATTGCATAAAAACAAACTGCCTTTTTTCCTGCAACATAATTAATCCTATTATTCCTATAACTATCCTTGTGTTATAAAATGTTAATGAGACATCTCGTTTCTCCACCAAATTTCTTGGTAGTACAAGTGTTTTCAAAACTTTTTTTGTATCAATAATTCAAACAATTCAGTCATATATCAATTCTCTATTAAATCAAGTCAAAAGAGGTCTAACAGCCTGATCTTTTATGCTGTCACTGCAATTGCTATTTTCTTTATAGACATAGGTATACCTATAAATAATAATTGAACTATTACATATGCCTTGGCTGAATCATATATGATCATAAACTGAACTGAATCATACACTGAATCACGATCACATATTCTGTGATCATAGACTGAATAGAATGCCAGTTCTTTTGTCATAGTTTACCACTTACATATTTGTATGGTGCAGGGACTTTTTCCTGGCAGAAATTACTTTTTATTAATACCACCTTTAACCAACCTCTTCATTTTCCATGTTTGGTTGTGAAAAATGATAGATTTTTAAAACCAGTTAATTTTTTTTAATTCCAGTTATCAATCAATATCTTATGTATGTTACTGGTCCACATACAAGAATCAAAAAGGAAAGTTAATCAACTTATATGCCACAAGGTATGATAAACATTTACCTTCCAAGCCATGATTAGAGCAGTTAAGCTATTTTTTAAAAGCTGTGAGATTTCCAACAGATCACAAATATATACATTCCTTCCATGAGTTATATATACAACCCATGTGCATATCTAACATAACTAAATAATGGGGCAGAAGCAACTTATAAACAAGACAAAACATCCAGGCGTGCAGACAATTTTACGCATTCTCATGACCATTGCCTGATTTCTGACATAAAAAATTCTAACAAAAATTCAGATTTTTACATAAGATTTTTAACAATAACCCCTAAAATAATTATTTTCACCATCAGTTTTTAAGAAGTTTAGCCCAAAATTTCAAATTGCTATCTATCTGGTGACAAATGGCAAAATTGAGCCACAAAATGGCCAATTTATTGAAAATATCACATTGGAGATGCAAAATTTCATTATTAGGTAAGAAAATTAAGTATTTTTTGCCACTATATTTTGCTACAAATTCTGTAACTTTCTACTCAGAGAGTTGGCCACAGCTTCCAGTTCAAAGCAACAAGGCAAACTATAAAATTGGGCAAAAGATATAAATTAATGAGATGTAAATGCCACTGCTATGGAAGAATTCCAGGAAGTGGTTGGTCATTTAGCTCCAACAGGACAATCGGGGCACTCCACACTTCAGGAGGACAACCAGGGCACTTTGCACACAGAGCATGTGTGCAAATTGAGGGCAGTACAAGAGTGCTAATTGTTAAGAAAATGCCAGTGATTTGGGTGCTCCAGTCGTGCGTTGGCTCCAGCCACAGCTGGACCAGTGATGCCGGGATCGGGCGCGGGGCAACAACAACAACATTTGGGTACTGCAGTGCTGTAGTGCACTAGTCCGGAGCTTCCCGCTCCTTTTGCATGGCATTTGCTCCTATTTTGGCAACAGCGCTCCTGAATTGCTCAAGTGCATGGTCACTTAGAGGGCATTTAGAATGCCACCAGTTCATATGGCCAGGCCCAGGCAAGGAATATATCTACTTGGGGAACCGCAACTGGATTTTTTGAGATGTGGTTTTAAGGACTTGCCAGGCACCAGCCATGATTCCATTTCTTCAAGACCGTGGTTTTATGGACTTGCCAGCCGTGATTCCATTTTTTCAAGCCGTAAATTCCACATCTTGGCCATGAAAAGCCATTTAAAAGCCGCAAACTTATTTATAAAGTCCTGTAATCCTCTGCATGTCAGCACGTCCACGTGTTACCCCAAATCTCTAATTTTACCCTAAAAACAGTCAAACAGCAACATTTGTCTTTACCTTCAGTGGCAACTGAACATGTGTTAATGCAGTCTGACCGCTCTGACCGTGACCGTCTGACTTGACCGCAAGTCCTCAACCATGCAATCTTCAAGGTACCTAAAGTTTTAGGTTGACATTATCATTGCCTTCTCAGCTTCAGCAGGATACTTTGGCAGGAGCCTTGAAGTACTGCGGAATGCAGATTTCAGAAGCTGCAAATTTTATTAAACAACATGCTTGCAAAGTGCAAACTGCAATAATTTCGGTATTATTGCAGATTAACTACATCCAAAAAAAAGGGTGTTTTTTTTTTTAATTATATGTTTTTTGGGGTGTAGATTACGAATCTGAAATCCATTTTTGGCGGTCGGCATCGGAAAACCGATTTTTTTAGAGCCATAATTTATTTTCTACTTTTTAGTCAACAAGAAAAACGTGGTTCTTTAAAAAGTTTTTTTAATTATTTTTTTTCAGATTGGTACCAGCCTACCAGGTACCTATATATTACGCTGTACTGACTGTAGGGACTACACTAGGGTCTAGGCCTCTAGGCTCTAGGGCAAGGGCCTATCTGTAAATTTAAGGCAATACAAATAACATATTTCATTTTTCTGGTTCCTGGTTGTGGCCAATGTCAATGAGACCATGGGAATGGCAATGGACACTCACACAGACAGTCTGACAGACTGACAGTGACACGGTGACACCTTACGGCTTACAAATTACAATGATCCTAGCCTATTCCTATACATTACACACTTTAGATTTGATCATTTTTGACATAAATAAATGAACTTGAATGGCTTGATTGCATAAATTTCATTATTATTTCACATCCAGTTAGCTCCTCACTCCTCAGAAGTCAGAAAAAGGCTTGGCTTGACCGAAATGGAAACTGTCACTGACTGTAGTCTCACTAGTCTGTACTCGGTAGCAGTGCGCTGTGCAGGCCGCAGCGTTTGCAACAAACTTGTGTTCAACAGTTTTTCATTTCCCCAGGCTTGAAACAAATACCTCCTACTGCTACTGGCGTGCTATCTACGGTACTTTATCTCTATTCTACACCTACTGTACAGTAGGACTGAGTAGGTTATTCTCATGAGTTAGGCCTAACCGCCTAAGGGCCCTACTCGGAGTACTCGCACTCCAGTCTCCGTTCCAGACTTCCAGTGAATGAGGCCCTAGGAGTAGGAGCCCCATTCACTCTCCATTTTCGAAGTTTACACTACACGACCGTCTAAATGTAATGACAAGGGGAAGTGAATACAGTTATGTCCACTAAAAGCAACGAAGTTAAGAAAACAATTAAAATAAAAGTATAATATAAACTTGAAGTCAGACGACATCTATCAGTGTCACCAAATCTCCGCAATTTAGAGGCTACGTAACCAGTCAGTGTGCTGCTGCTGGGTCTGGGAAACAAGATGCAAGAGCTATTAGCTTATCAACCATCTTCGACAGCCACTAATGGCAGACTAATTTGCGACTTGCGTTAGCAACTTACCAATAGCATAACAGAAATATTGGTTCAAGATTAGCAACTTTCCAGTAGCATAACAGAAATATTAGTTATAGGGATTTTATAATAAAAATTATTCGTATTATAATTTTTACACGTATTTAATCGCTCGCAGTTAAATTAAACTATATCAGTAGAAATACTAACCCGCCTCTCATTCTTAAAAATGTAGTGGTTATACCCAGGCAATGTTATCAGATAAAGTGCCTTGGCAGTTTTTGTTTACGATGAAAATCGCTGTTTTAAATACTAAGTTAAGATTTTGTCATCTCAGTATCTATGAATAGGCCTATATGTCTTTATATACCGTTTAAAGTAGTCGAATAAAAATAATTTAATCGAGTGAGTAACTAGGATGTCAACAAAAAACTGCGGGTGTGACATTGCGTAAATTTTTACAAATAATATCTAAATACAAATTAATAAATAAATTCAATGCGATTGTAAAATTGTAATCGTAAAATTGATGTACAGTCAGTCGTCAAAGAGCCATTAAATGTTTAATGATTGTTTTACAACTTACGATGCAAAATATTAACAATACATCGTAAACAAGTCATTACAATCATTGCTTTTAATCAATAATAAAAAATTCAAAATCTTGAAAACGTCCAGAAACACAAAGTTGAATGAATTACCATTTTATCATTCATTTTTACGGACAATAACATTTTCATACACATCAAGTACTAAATATATATTGCATCAACACGATAACTACTACTTTATCTCTAGATAAAGACGACACGCAGCACTTTTCATCATGAACTTTGGGCTAGAATATCATCGGTAGCTCACATGACGACAGACAGAA